ACTCTCGGCTTCTCCGCCCCCAACTTGGTAACCACAGAGACTCACACCCACCCCCATCGTGGAGCCAGAGCGACATCTAGGGCACTGGAGGCTTACCTGCACCTGAGTAGAGGAGCTGGTGGGTTATGTGGGTTTGGGTTTTGAGGGTTTTTTTCATGTATCCAAACATTTTTTTTAATTAAAAAAAATACATTAAAAAATACATGGACTAATTATATGTTTAACAAATTAAAATGGTGATTTCTGATTGCAAGGAAAAAAACAAAAAAACAGTTTTCTTATGAGAATCACTATAAAGTTATAATGTAAAAGCATTTTTTACTGTGAAAAGGCACAAAATTTCCTTTATGGACAACTTGTCATTTATCCACCATGTAATATCAAATACACCGGTAATCCGTAAAGTAAATATGATTCTATTGAGGGGAAAGAGCCAAATCAAAGACATCGTTGAGGAAAAACATGCATAGTAGACTATGAACTCTACAGAGGACAAAGGCCCTAATTTTACATATTTTTAAACTCCCTAGTTCCTGACAAGGTTCTCAGAATATAGTTTCTCAGTTAATGAGTAACAAATTGACTTACTGGTTAAATTAGCAACTCTGGAGCTGCCTGACAACAGTATAAAATAAATGGATAATTCAGGAGTAACTGGCTTTTGGACTTGAATTTTAGTTATTCAAAACAACATAATTTAGTACCAGATGTTTAAACAACCATCATAATTGCTAAGCTGTGAAATCAGCATTATTTATATCTGATCAACTATACAAAACTCATCAATTTTTCTTTACAAAAAGGGGGGTAATAGAAATCCCAAAGAATAAAGGAGAGACTACTAATTAGGGGTCACATTTACTAACCTAGCACCATAATCCCAGTCTTGGGCCATCCCAAGTGGCTGGAAGGAGGAAGGGAAGGGGTGAGCATGTTGGAAAAGGGTAGTTCTTAATTTGTGGCCCATTTGTGCTCTAAGGCAACACAGATCTAGCAGAGAGGAAAATCAGTGAGGCTGGAATTTAAAACAAAAGCTTTTGGTTCAGATGGTAAGGAGTCACTCAAGAACAGCAGAATCAGTATATCCAGAAGGCAGTGCTAGAGTCTTTCTCATGAACTAGGGGGTTTCTTCTTGACATCCAAGTCCTTTAGCCAGGTGTGGTATATTGTAATTCTGAGCCACATACATTCCAACCACATTGCCAAAAGTACATCCCAGCAGGACCTGGAGCAAGGTTATCTGCTAGGAGGGCACAAAGCATGGCTAGGAACTGGTTTTCAAGGAAGGGTACTGCTGCAAACCACCTTAACCCAATGCCTGTAGCTCAAAGGCGATTCTCTATAATCACTTTTGAGTTCATAAACTTCTTCCTTTCCCAAATCATGGAAACCTCTAATATTCTCAACTTAATTGCACGTAACTTTTTGTTCTATATCTTTCTACTTATACCAAGATTATACCATCTCCCCCTGCCAAAAAAGGCAGGTTAAGACAGTGTATGCCTGTGTTGTAAGTTTAAAATTTTAAGGGAAATGTAGTACAAGGGTAAGGAAATTTGTCTGAATATTTTCCAAACTTGACAGTTATTCTCTATATCAGAGGGATTTCATCATTTTGAACACACTATCTTTTTTTTCCTTTAAAGTTTTTATTGTTATGTTAATCACCATACATTACATCATTAGTTTTTGATGTAGTGTTCCATGATTCATTGTTTGTGCATAACA